GATACCAAGCAGAAAGCAAATGTTTTGAGAATGATGGTGGCAACAAATGTACAAATGTGCTTGACACAACAGATGTATGTACAGATTGTGATTAAGAACCCCCAATAAAATGACTTTTAAAAATTCTGCTGAGGAGAGAGTACTGTTGAGGATTAGAAGCTCTCTCCTCACTCTGGAATGGCCATCAGAAAAGCGCGCAGAGGCTTGGTGGTAAAATGCAGGTAACTACTGAGTGAGAGAGGCAGCCCTACCAGCATAGTAGTTAAGCACAAGATAGAAGATTTGAACAACCCCCCAACCCCACCCTCACCTCCATTATCATGACCCCAGGCCTGCCTTTTATTGCAGGCTAGACCAGAGCATGTTATACAGGTACAGATAAAAGATAAGAATTCCTGACACATGGAATCCAAGAACAGGAATGAGAGTAGTGATTACCAGGAGGGTAGGGGGAAAGTGGGAAGAGGAGGGGAGGAAGGGGGTACCAACTGCAATGATGGACACATACTGTCCCTGGCCCCTCCCTACCCCAGGGGGATGAACAACAGAAACTATGGGGGAAGGGAGACAGCGGTCGGTGTAAGATATGAAAATAATAATTGATGATTATTTACAGTGTCATGAGAGGGGGAGGGAAGGAAAAAAGAGGAGCTGATACCAAGGGCTCAATAGCAAGTAAATGTTTAGAAAATAATGATAGCAACATATGTACAAATATGCTTGATACAACTGATGTATGGACTATTATAAGGGCTACAAGAGCCCCCAATAAAATGATCTTTTAATAATTTTTTAAAAAAGCTATGGGAGAAAGATGTGGCAGTCAGCTTGGGTAAAGATTAGAACTATAGAGACCCTATGGGGTAGTTCTCTGTCGTATCCGGTCACTATGAGTCGAATCTACTAAATGGTACTGAGTATTGGGTTTCCTGAACCACTGGCCAAAACACATTTTGGTGCCTCAAATGCCCCCAAAATGGCACCAGTTTTCCCTAATCACCTCTATATTTTGAGATACAGAACATATGCCATATATGACTCTTCATTCTACTCATCCATTAAAAAATCAGGATATTTTAAGGTACTGTAAGCTAGCCTGAGATACAGGACATACAAGCTGGCTCTATTTAAGGTAGTTTGTGTTGTACTAAATGTTTAGGCCAATTTATACTTCATATGGTGCCCTTTGATGCAAATATATATTGAACATTGCACATTAGATAATTTTTGAATTTTCCCCAAGTGTCACTTCATCTTTATTAGGAACATAATGGCAGGAAGTTCCAATTTGTTCTGAGAGAGGGGCCAGAAATAAGAACCCTGATGGTACAGTATAGTGGGTTATGTGTTTGATGGCTATCCATAAGGTCAGCTATTCGAGCCCACCAGGCCCTCTGCAGTGAGACTTTCTGCTCCTATAAAGATTTACAGTCTCAGAAACCCACAGGAGAAACTCCACTCTGTCCAATAGGGTCACTATGCCTACTAACTGATTGATTGGTACTATTCATAGAGATCCAAATGTTTTAAAACCCCAAATGGGTCTGTCCATGTTCAAATTCCGTTATTAAAATGAAAAAATTTCATTCTTGTTAGAAGATGGCACAACTTTTCCTGTGCACAGAAACTCTTAAAAGAAGAGCTTTAAGGAAAGTTCTAAAAGAAAAGTTCTTATAAAGAAGCTTGGAGTCACTCACTGCTGAAACACTGAAAATCGATTATCCATTGATTTCTATATATTACATGTGTTCTGAAATGTTTACTGTCTAACTTGAAGAAACATTTAGACCATCAAAATATTTATAAAAATTGCTATGTATTCTTATATTTTTGACACTCTAAATTGCCCACACACTTTCCATATATGTGGCTTTTCAATTTTCTTCTTATTTTCCACTCTTCTCAAGCTGTGTTCTGCTATTAGTGTCCAACCTGTAGTCTCAAAGTGTATTGCACAGCCTCCCAGACCGAAAAGAAAATCTAATAGATTCTAACTCAGACTGACCCTGTA